GGGATTCCTCAAGACACGCTTAAAAAGATATTATCACGTCGGAAATTCGTGGCCGATGAGATGTTCCTCGACGAAAAAAACAGCATTTCTCAATAAAAACAAGCACCGAATATGCTTTTAACAAACAAAAAAGTGAAACAAAAGTTATCTTTTGTTGAATTGAGTGAAAAGAAGGATGGCTACAAGTTGCTCGGGATGAATAAATTGAATCCGGAGAGTGCTGTTGTGATCGCAAAATGTGGAATCTGCTTGTGCCAGTGCACCTGAAACGGGGCTTTTGAAACAGAAAAAAATCCATGCGAATGGAACTCATTTTTGGTGGCACATCTATGAAAGATTTAGGAGCCGAAGCTTAAATCTGAAGGTACATCACGATCGCCAGCAGGCTGACCATCAGGCGATGCAGCACTAGCCAAAACCCAATTGTTTTCTGTCCAAATCTTGGTTTGGACAGCTATAATTTATGGCCTGGTTTAAACCTTCAAAAAAAAAAAAATCATGATTCGAATATTAAGATTTTTTAAATCAAAGCATAAGCTTGAAGGTAAATTACAGCCGAAAGGCGGAGAAGCAGATCATGAATTACAGCTGTTCAAATCAAGTTTTGTATGGCAGAAAAGTGGGTTCAAATCAAAATCTGATAAAGGCTGGCGTGATTACTCAAATTTATACAAAGAAATAATGATAATTAAGTGCCAAATAAATAGTTACCTCTTTTACTTCGCTCTGTCCCATGTGAACAAATAGCAGTTGCGGTGGTACTCCATCAATTTCGTCCGCTGAATCTGCCTCAAGCGCCAAATCCCAGATCGTAACTTGATCATCTTCCCCGGATGCCATTATTGTTGTTGTCTCGTACGGTGACCATTCCACGGATGTTATTGGTGCTTTATGCTGTCGAAATCGGGCAACCGGCTCGTTGTACTAGATTTAAATCAGGCAAGAATTCGTTACTTTGAAAATATTACCAAGACAGCGTGAGATCTGCCAAACTGAAGCTAATATGGTACTATGATATGCAGAATTAAGCCAATCTCTTGTATTCTGAGGGGCAAACAACTATTACTTCGGTTGCATCGGCTTGCGCATCTTTAACAGCAAGGTGGGTGGGTCACTCATCCTCCCTCAGATGAGTACCATGCTTATTAAAAAAAACGTCCAACAGTTGCTAGCAAAGCAAGCAACTTATTTCATGTACGAGGCATTATTTCCGTGAACATGCCAGAACCCTGCCAGCCATTCAACCGACAAAATTCGTCCAATATCTACATGAATATGAAGTAATTTGACGCAGTATCCCCAACAAAGACAAATTATGACAAGAGCAAGGCACCTCAAACAATCGGTATGACGGCCCTCCTATATTTGCCATCCTACTAGAATGTTCCGTATGTCTGCAAAGCCGAGGAATTTGCACTCTGAAGAACACAGATGGTGTGATAACTACATAGGTATGATGTTTCCGACGGCGGTTATCGCTACCGTCATCTTGAAAGCTTCTTATTTTTGTGAGTTTTGTGCTCTGC